CTGGAGATCTTCAAACCCGCTTGGACGCAGTCCTGTGCCACGTGCTCTAGGTGACCCTGCGTGTGCAGGGGTTGGACTAGATGATCCCTAGAGGTCCCTTCCAACCTCAATGATTCTATAATGATTCCATTTCCTTGTTTTTTATGGAAAAGTCCTGCCCCTTGCCTCCCGGTTGGGTGATTCCCCCGAGGCGCTTCGGGCTGTGTGAGGGCGGCCGTGCGGCCTACGCGGCGCCCGCTCCGTGTGGGGACCCACGCGCTGTCCGCGCGGGGGAACGGCCCCGCGTTGGGAAACCACGCGCTCCGCAGTGAAGAAATGCTAAAATCAAGCGATTAGGAAATACCTGGTAACGCTCCCTCGTTCCCCTTTCCGTGTGCATCGGGATGTGGTGGCAGCTCCCACCCTGCGGCCTCGCCCGGCACCGGGACAGCCGGCGCTCCCGCTGCCTCCGCACGCGGCGGGTGCCGGAGACGGGGCCTTTCCAAGGCCTCCGGAGGCTGCTTTATCCTCCCTCCCATACGTGGCCCTGTACCTCATTTACCAGATGATGCTCAAAGTGTTTGGAAGAGGGAATTACTAGATTCTTGCGGCCTTCTCGCTGGTGCTTATCCCCATAAGGTGCAACTGCTGCGCAGATGTGGCTGAGCACTGCGTGCAGAGGAAGGACATCATCATCATCATCTGTGATGGATGCACGGGGGCCTCAGGCTGGGAGCCCATGTGGAAATACCTGATTATTGGTTTGGGGTGATCAAGACTTTCTGTTCTTCTTCAGAGAAAGCTTTGAGCTCTGAACACTCGTCCCTCTTGCAGATCAGACTCCAGCACCACAAGCCAGGTCAAGGCAGCAGCGCTTCAGAAATATCTGCACTTCCCTCTACCAGCCCCTTGGCAAAGACATGGAAAATCCCATATTCCAGAGCAGCTCCTGCACCAGGGACACTGTCCTTTCCCCCTGTCCCCCTGGTCTCTTTGCTGATGCGGCAATGTCCTCGGTATCGCACATCTTTGGCGCTAGTGGCATTGCCTATAGTGCATCTTGGCCTCTTTTAATTTTTCCCTTATCTGCTTCTCATTTGTTGCTAGTTCTCCCCGCCTGTAAACCGCTTGGTTCAAAGCTGCCGTTAAAGTGCACGGTACCTCTTCAATAAGACTCTCATTTAGATGGAGGTGGAGGGGCTTACCATAAACAGATGCAACTCTTTGTATCTCGCTGCAGTTTTCCATTTAAGGGAAAGCCCTCGTTCTTTCCAGTCCTGATTGCCACCATTTTATAAGGAAGTACAGTTCCCTATCTAGTTGATTTATATCTTCTCTTCCCCCCCACCCTTTTATTTTAACGTAGCCTCTGGCTAATTGCGACTTAAACCAGCCCTTTATTTCCAATGCGGCTCTCCCGAGCGGATCAGGTCACATGGGCCGAGCAGGATTTGGCCATTAGTGGGGGGTTTTCCTGTCAGTGTTCCCTAGCAGGATGCGTTTCCTCTTGCATAAGCAGCCTGAAAACCCTCCGAAGCCACAGCCATACATCTGCTGGATGCTTTAGACAGATAAACCCTTTATAAACAGGAAAATGGGCAAACTCATGGTAGCGCTTGTGACACATCGTGATGGGAGATCAGAAAGCGAAGCCATGAAGAGCAGCTCTGTGCGAGCGGCTCTTGGGGCACCCGCAATTCCAAAGATCCCTTTAAACCCCAGACCCTGGACTGTGCAGCGGCGAGACGGGAAGCAGTTCAGTGTGGGGTGAAGTTCAGCTGGAAGTTACTTGACATTTGGGGAAAAAAAGTCCTTTCTGGCCAAAAAAGCCGTCTCCCCGGCCGTGTTGGGAGCCGCGGCGCGGGGACGAGCACGCTCGTGGGCGGCAGCGCTTACCCCGCCCCCTTTCGCTCTTACCCGCGCGGCTCGTCGGGTTCTGCTGAGGGCTCTCACTCTGGCAAAACACAACCCCCTTTCAGCGCTCTGCGGTGAGGTTTTACATCCTCTAAATTTGTTCTTTGCTAAGAAAGACGTTTCCTGTTTAGCAAGTATCTGCTGATGGTTCCAGCCGCTTAGTTAAGATTTAGCAGCGGAGGCAACGAGCGAATTAGACTTCCCTTCTTGAAAGTGCTGCTCTAAGACCTCTCTCCATGAGTGAATCTTCAGCATTCCCATAACCAGTGTTCTGGGTGAAGCCCCCGGGATGCGCTCCCTGCCTCCGGGAACAGCGCTTCCCGCTGCCTTTCCCTGGGATTAGCCGGATCTTGCTGCGTTTTGCAGATAGGGTAAAGGCTGAATCAGTCTTTTCAGCTGGTGAATCATTTCAGATGCTGGAGGCTTGTTTTATAACCCTGCGGGTGAAAAACGAGGCTGTTTGCAGAGCAGGGCCGCTCTCCTTAGGGGTCTCCATCTGCAGCACGTCCCATCTATGAGCGCACGCGGTCCCGGTGGCAGCGACCCTCCGTTGTGGAGGAGGGATCCCTGGCACTGCAGAACGGAGAAATAAGTCAAGATACTAAATGTTCTTCCCCTTCTAACAAGAGCTGGGGGTAGGGAGAAGAAACCTCCTCTTTTTGGTGCTCGGGACCGAGCTCGCCCTGGTTTGTTTTTCACCTGCTCGCTTGCTGCACGCTGCGATCCCCCGTCTCTGCCCTTTCCAAGCGCAGCCGGCATGGGAGGCTTTTTTTCCCTTCCCTTTGGATCGCAGCCAGATCGGATGGCTGTGATCCAAAGCCAAGAATCCCTCCCTTTGCTATGGAAATGAGGCCGTGGAGGCTGCTCGCCATGTGTTCACCGAGCGGGGAGGAGGGCGGCCGAGGTGCGCTCCGAAAACCGCTTGGAGCAAATAGAGGGGTTTTGGGGAGCAAATGCGGGTATTTTGGGGTGCACATGTTACTACCTTTTTAGAAGGCCCTCCTAAGAGCCCAGGGGATGCCCTTTCCAAAAAATGGTTAAAATGAGGGATATAACATGGCAGAAACCCAGCAGAGAGCATGGGGGTTTCTGCCTCGGGGATGGAAAGGGCAGCAGAGCTCACGCCTGTGATCTGGCTCTTGTGATAAGGTTTGGGGTGGTAGTTTTTGCAGGGGGTCGTGCTCTTTTTTCGTGCGTGTGCATGGTATTCTGGTGCCGATCAAGCAAAGGAGGGTGGAATTACCCAAACTATACAAATAATCCTCCTTGTTTCTAACTTATAGCATCCGCGTTCCCAGCGCAAAAGCAGACAAATCCCAACCCACCCTTCCCAGAGGAGCCGCGTGGCCACGAAGGCGTCCTGGACGGATGGCAAAATGAAGTCCCATAAATGAAGTCCCACAGCCAATTGCTCGTTTATTTTCTGTTCAAATGTTCATCAGCCCCCGGGCAGTTTTGCTGGGGCAAGGTGTTTCCTTCAAGGCACTTTGATTTTGGTCGAGATTTGCCTTTTCTTTGCACACCTTTCGGCTCATGCTGTGGATCAGCGGTGGCTTGGGGACACCCTGGTGGCCCTGGGCCCCTCCGGCCACGATGGCCCCGGCGCCCTGGGGACACGGGAGAGAGTGGGAGAGGCTGCGGAGCATCTGCTGGGACGAGGTTTCCCCGTCCCTCCTGCCCTCTCAACAACTTCATCTCCCTTCCTCTCTCTGAAAACCAGCCTAGAAGCTGCCTGAGCCGTTGGGGTGTTTCACCCCCAAAACAGGGCCCATCAGGAGCTCCCCTGCGCGCCACGAGCGGAGGAGGAGGTTGGTGTTTGTGGGTCTGTTTCGCGCTGCTTTGAGCAGAAGCGCCCGGGTTCCGGCTTCGTCTTGCACTTTGGTGTCCTGGGTTTGTCCCGGCTGGAAGAGGCTCTTTATTTTTGCCATAGGTGAAGTATTTGGCTGCAGGAGTTTGCCGGCGGGATTTTTTTAAATGCGGAGGGTGATTAGCAATCCCGATAGTAACCATTAGCAGCACACGAAGCTTTCTTCCTCTGCAGAGCCTCCTGATTCACAAAATTGTGCAGCTAAAATTTGCTCCGAGCCGCCCTCGCTCAGCCCACGTGCAGAAAAACGCTGCAAAACCCTGGTCCATCCTGGGTGGCAGCGAGTGACAACGGGAGCTCGTGGCCGCAGCGGGACACGGTGGCGGAGGCCAGGTCACCCCTGGAGCCCCCGGGAGGGGACAGACGTCCCCGAGCAGCAGTGACCCCCCAACTGGTGCATTTATCCCTGCGCCTGCAGATCCGCGCGGATCGGTGTCCACGCCGGGCGCGTTCCCGTCTGCTCCCCATCGCCTTCCAGCGCCGTTTTCCTCTTCAAACGCGTTCCGCGACTGCTCGTTTGTCAGCGCTTTGCTCTCGTTATCCGGCTTTCCATTCCAGCCCGCTCCCCTCTACCCTGAGCCGAGCTTCCTTGATATTCACATTCTCTTGAGGAGAAGTGTTACAGACGCGCCAAGTTAATTTGAGTCATTAGCTTGTTTCCATTACTGCTTTCTGCCCAGGAAACTAATTTTATTATTTTTTTGGTGAGATTTTTGGAATTAGAAGAAGGGCCTGGGAGGCAGCTCCCATGTGGAACCGCTTCACAGGAGCACCGGCTTTGGAGAGCCCGCGTCCTTATTTACATCTTCTGCACCCTGTCTGACTTGAAAATAAACAAGTTCCGTCTAAGAGCAGGCTCATCCCTGAAAATATGTAGAGACTTGTCTAAAAACCTCTTGTAGCATAAGGAATTTCCTTTACCATAATAAGAAAATATATTTACAAGGGAGAAAGTGACATTTGGTTGGGACTCTGCAAAACCCTCCTGAAATGAAGCTCAGTTTTGCGGCTTACAAGAAGGCTCGGGGAAAAAAGCAACACAAAAAAAGTGGGGCGGGCAAGAGATGCAAATCGGGTTGCAAACTTGGTGAGCTTGAAGCGAGCAGCAAACGGGGCAGGCGCGGGGAGCAACGCGTGTCCTCGCGGCGCGGCGCGATGGAGCGCGCGGGTGAGCGGGTCGAGGGCGGCGGGCGCGCGGGCACGAGCTCCCTGACCCCTGCAAACCCCTTCTCTCCGCAGACACCATGAGGCGAGTGGTTCGGCAGAGCAAATTCCGGCACGTGTTCGGCCAGGCGGTGAAGAACGACCAGTGCTACGATGACATCCGCGTCTCCCGCGTCACTTGGGATAGCTCCTTCTGCGCCGTAAACCCCCGATTCGTTGCAATCATCGTAGAAGCTAGCGGCGGCGGGGCCTTCATGGTGCTGCCTTTGCACAAGGTAAGTGTTTGGGGAGGTTTCTCCCTCCTGTATCTGCATTTTGGGTCGTTTCTGTTGTTCCTGAGCATCACTTAGCCCGCGACGTCTCTGCCGTATCGCATCTCCATAGAGCCCCGTGCGCCTCCATGAAACATCTCCGTAATCAGTCTGATACTTCCTGCAAATTAGACACTGTAAATAACCTTTATTTGCTTGAGTAACCTAAACCAATACTACATGGCAGATTCTTAGTGGAAAGATGCTCCATGTGAAGCCGTTCTGCTTGTGATAGTTTGGGTTCTTCCACTGTCAGGGATTCAGCTTCGTGAGCATCACTTAAACCAAGGATGCACCTGAGCCTAAGTCCTGCTTGCAGACCAGTGGATTAGTGGTTAAATAGCTAACTGGTGCTAGATCTGAACCATAATAGCTAATTAGTGCTAGATCCAAACTAGCACCAAATTGGTTCTAGCACCAAATAGCAAATTGGTTCTAGCAAATTTGTGCTAGCACCAAATTGGTGCTAGAACCAAAATAGCTAATTGGTGCTAGATCTCCCTAGGCTGCTGCTACCCTTTAGTTTGTTTTCTTTTGCTATAGGCTGGTGTAATAAAGAATAATTCCAGCAAAAATCCACCATCACAACCATCCTGCTGTCCTCCAAGACCACAGGGCTGCGTGTGTAGGTTTTATTGCACTCGCCCTGGTCTTGTTGTGTGTCGTGACCCTGCAGCGAGGCCGTGCTGTGTCCCCTTCTGCGTTGGGCTTCCCTGAGGAGCCGCAGGGATGTCCTTTAAAAGCACACGGAGAGGTAGGGGCCCGTCCATCACCAGCACCGGGATGCAGAGCAGCTTCCTACAATCCCATAAAACGTGTGGATGAGCAGGAGCAGCGCCTCACGCTGGAATAAATCCTCCTACCCACAGATAGCCCTTTAAAATATCACAAACTACCCTTGTTTCAGCCTTGCTGGAGGGAAGGGTTCTCATCTCCTTGCTGATGTCTGGACTTTGACCACAGGCAGCTGGCAAGTCTCAAAATGCCGATTTACAGATCTCTGGAGGAGCCCGGGCCCCATCTCCTCGTGTGCTCGCACTTAAAAAGGAGAAGTATCAAACTTAGATGCACACACTTCCTTCCAGCAACTTCTGTTTCACTTCCGTTAATGCAACTTTACAATTTAGAAGAAAAACAGGTTGGTGAGATGCAGGGGAAATAAGTGGCCCTAAGAATGATCTGAGAGCGCTCTTATGATCCCCAAATACCCATGTTTTCTTTTAAATAGCAAACAGTCTTTCTCCGTGGCATTGCTTTTATGTCTTTGAACCCTCAAGCTTCTCAACACTCAAAACGTCTTCAGTTCTGTTATCAGCCCTAATTGTAGAATCACAGAGTCATTGGGCTTGGAAGGGACCTTTGGAGATATCTAGCCCAGCCCTTTATTTCTAGCCCCATTTGCAGATGTGCCCTATTTATATGCTGAAATAGCGACCCAAACGGAGTGTGGCCGTGCAGGGGGACAGGAGCCGAGCACAGGAAGGACCTTCAGGGTCCCGCGCTCTGCTCTAGCAGCCACCACAACGGCAAGTCCTTTCTTACACGGACCTATTTTAAAACTGGCTATTTTTTTTTGTCCCTACCCACCACTTCCAAGGCTATGCCAGAACCTCGCTCCTCTCGTGGCCAGAATCTTTGTCTTAAATCTGACGTAAATGTGGCTTTTCATCGCCATTTTCCTTTTGGACCAAGATTTATCCTGTAATTTCAGTGTCTGCTCTTCCCCTCCGTGGTATTTGCAAGCAGGTCCCGAGCTCCGCAGCGCGTTCCCGCTCATGCCCGGGATGCTCATGTTGCGGCACGGTGGCGAGGCAGGAAATCCCGCTAATCCCGCATGTGTGATCTGGCACGAGTGTCCTCTGGTGTTTGTTTTTCACAATGTTTTGGTTATTCCTTCCTCTCGTCGCTGTGTTCTGCTCCTGCTTGGAGCTATTTCATATTTAATGCCCGGCCAGGTCTGATGGAAGGTCCCACTTCGGCTGGTGCTGAGCCCCTCTGCAGCACGTCGCTGCCTTTGCTCTAAGCAGTCCCTGTATTCCTCATTTTCATATCCTGGGTTGATGAAACGGTTCTTCAGTTCCTTGCACACACCAACACTTTGATTTCTGCATTAGAGGCCCACCGAGATCCTTGCTGTTGCGTTCGGGAAGAGGTCGATTTTAAGCCCTGTTTTTGGTGGGATTTCATCATGGGGGCATAAAAACCCCCTGGATGCAGTTGGGAGCACGAAGGTGGCTGCAGTGAAGTGTCCCTTGGTGACCTGGGGACTCTTGAGGTGGCAGCAGGTCCCAGGGAAGCCCCTCTCATGTGGCTTGGCCTCGTCCGAGGGGGTAGCTGAGCCTGCGTGGGCACGGGAGGAGAGTGCATTTGTTTAAATGCCTTTCTCCTTCCCAAGCTTTAATAATGTTTTTTGCTATTGTGGCGCTGGCTTTCGGGTCCCCTGGAGCGGTTCCCCACAGGGCGCCCGGGAACGGGGCGCTGGAGGCAGCCAGGGAAAATCCTTAATGCAACAACCCGCGGTGCCGGGCACGGAAGCAGAAGGGCTGGGATCTCCCCGCACCTCTCCAAGTGCAGCCGTGGAGAAAAACGGGCTCTCCCCTTTCCGTAGGACACGGAGAAAGACACACAGAGTGTGTGTATGTAAATATATAGACCTGTATGTTTATCGTATGTGTTCATATTTATCCTTTATTAGATTCATTACGTATAAAATGCCTCTTGTGTGCATGTGAATAGATGTATTTAATTTACACCCCTAGAAGGGTGCACGTGTGCAATATACACATCTATACGTTACATATAGGTGCGTGCATAGGTGGTTGTGCGGGCGGGGGGGTCACCGCGCTCCCCCGCAGGTGCCGCCCGCTTCCGCCGCGCG